GAGTGCAGGATGTACCTGATGCACGAGCGAGCTCGCCGCGCCGGGCACCGCTTCATCACCGAGAAAGCCATCTTCTCCCGCTGGGCCAGGAGGAGGCACATCGTCTTCACCCACCCGTCCTGGGCGGCCAGCCGCAGGGGGAGGTGGGGAGACCCCAGCAGTGACGTGCCGCGGCTCGGCGGGTGCCACGGGTGAAAGCCTTTTGCCAAGCACGGAGCAGACTCCAACTCCACGGTGGCAGGGCTGGTTCCTCCAGCTGGTGGGTGGCCTGGGACCCCCGTGTCGGTGCACAGGGGGCATGAGCTGGCCCTGCGGAGCCCCGTCGGCTCTGAGCGCCTGCCTGGATGGACCCGGGGTGACCACAAAGGTTTTCTGCCCGCTCCACAGTGGTGAAAATTTAATGCAGGATTAAACATTCATGCTGGGCTCCAGCATCACATGGCGCAGGAGAGCTCAGCCCCAGGAGGGCCACGAGCCAATGCCTCTCCCAGGGATGAAGCTTTACTGTGGTCCCTGCCCTGAGACCTGGCACTGGATGTGGGGCATGGGGAAGTGGGGCCAGGCTCCCCCCGTCCTGTTGCCCCGGGCAGGTCCCTGCGGCTCCAGCTGCCCCTGTGCCCCCCAGCTGGGAAGCCCCGGGGCTGTGGGTACCTCTGACGTTCTGAGTTGCCTTGTCACAAGTGCCCTTGGATTCAGACCAAAGCAAACATGGCCATTAAAAGCTTTTTAACTGGGTGGTGCCCTATGCTGTGCCCCTTGCGTCTGCGGGACGTGTGGACAGGGGACAGCAGCTGGTCCTGCTCCCCTGACAGGCTATAAATAAGGTGGGGAGGTGACAAGGGGTTAGAGCTGAGACTGAGCATGAAGGAGGGTGGTGAAAACTGGCGGTGGAGATTATTTGGGAACCAGCAGCAACATCTCTGCAGTGTGGGCACTGGCCCAGCATGGACTTTGAGTTGGGTCTGGGGTGATGCCCAGCCCCACAGGGCTCAGTGCTGCCGGGCTGCAGGCAGGATGGCTGCCAGCTCCTGTGTCCCAGGAGGGACAGGACACACCACAGGCACATCTGCGGCCCTGAGCCCGGCTGCGTGGACCTGCTGTAGCAGCTTTTTGAACCCTTAGCAGATGCCACATGTCTGGGTGGGCCCAGCAGTGTCTGGGGGGCAAAGGGCAAGCCTGAGGGGCAGAGGGAGCTGCGTTTGCTCCCAGCTGAGGCCAGGCGCTGGGGTCAAGTGAGGAGCAGGTCAGCTGTGCCATGGGGATGCTGCCAGGACAGGTGGGTATGAACAGAAGAGCCCCTGGA